GATCAAGGCTTCATCCTTATAAAAATCTTTCTAATAACATTCAATTAATTGAAACTTTTAATTGTTTAAAATTTAATCGAATGATTTACAATCAAATTTTCCCACCAATTTCGCCCAAAATACATGATGAACACCTTGCTTATACTGGAGAAAATGGTCAAGACTTTTATTTTCCCTCAGCCAATTACAAGCTGTCGCAAAGCGAATTGAGAAAAATTAAACAACATTTCTCCACTATATCAGATGTATCGGGTTTGCAACTTATGTCTTTTAGCCACGAAGGAACAAAATATGGGCGGCTTAGAACAAAAGATGGTCATTATATTGGATCAAAATGGATTCATCGAAATGAAGATTGGTCACGAATTAATTACACCGTTATGGTAAAAATTGAAGTTGATATTTATGCAAACTATCCAAAACGACTATCAGTATTTGAAGTTCAAGATTTCTATGCTATTGTTGAGTATTATTTAACATATGAATTTGAAGGGTCTAAAGCAATGTTAGCTTATATTCAATGGACGTCATCTGTTGAAAAAGATAATGTTGGTTTAAAATCATTTAGACGATTGGGTGCATATGCATTTATTGACGCGTCTGCAATTGATCATTGTGTTGGGTTTATTGAGATTGCAAATTTATTTTATATTGTAGACAAAGAAGTTGACAATGAACAATAATATTTTTTAAATTATCTTTTTCACTTGTTCTGTAGTATAGTAAATATAGCGGGTTAGAAATGTTAATTCACCAGAACTATTTCTGTTTATTTATTGTACAATTACAATATAATTTTAGTATATCTTAGTTAATACAGTAGCTATTATAGTTACTAATATAATAAAGCAAAAACACTGTATACTTTTTGTACAAATCTTATACCAAAATAATTGGACAATTTTATTATTATAAATCATTATACAATTATTCCATATAATTATTAAATAAATATTGAACAAATTTATAAAATTGTATAATTTTTATACAATTGTCGATAAGCTAATATTTTTTGATTTTTACATAGCAGTACAAACACTGCACAATAATGCTTCTATTTTGAATAAAAACTGTATGGGGGCTAACAAAGATATAACATATTTAGGATAACTTTTTTTTATAGGGACCCTGATCCTCAAATTTCGTAACGTTGCATAAAAAATTGACCTGGGTCATTTCTTAATCGGTGAAAATTTAGAATGAGCTAGGTCAACCTGAAATCGACCTAAATCGTAAATGATCCGCGACATATTTGTCACACTGAGTATTGGCCACACCCTGATCCTCAAATTTCGTAACATTGCATAAAAAATTGACCTGGGTCATTTCTTAATCGGTGAAAATTTAGAATGAGCTAGGTCAACCTGGAATCGACCTAAATCGTAAATGAGCCAGAACAGTAATACAACATTAGTACAAAATATAATTAGATCATCAGCACCATAATGTTAAAGAAAGTTCTAGAATTTTAAGTGATCGACATCATATGGGACATTACATTTAGTTTTACTTGCAAATTAAGTGTTATCAGCTACGCTCCGAAAAATAAATATAATCTATAAACCAAAACTTATTACGATTGACAAATCCAAACATACTGCAATAACAATATATTCTAGTATTAACTTGGAACTTCTTCTATTATAAACTTATTCACATTAAATAGTAATAAATGTTTCTCATTCTAAAGTATAATTTGATCTACGACAGGCGTATTTTGTCTTCTAAATAAAGTTTTCAGTCTTGGAATAATTCAGTAATTTGAGATTATTTTGCATAATGAACGAAGATATCTTCCTAGAGTGGAATTCCACGTTCTCAAAAAGAACATTAAAACATATAAATGAGTTATTTTTTATGATGTATAATGAGTTTAAAATTATTCGGGTAAAAATTATACCCAATATTACATAACGGAAAAATTAATTCCGATATTAGTAGTAAAAAACTAACTCATAAATATAAATAATAACACGGCCGAATAATTAGCAAACGGGAAAAATTGCATTAACTTAGCAAACAGGAAATCTTGCATAAAAGTGTCTAACTGAAATATTTATGTGGCACTTTTTTTTACACGTGTAGTGATTTTACATTAATCGTCAAACTTACAGTACAAGACAATTTAAGAAATGCAGTCAACTCCAACAATATTCACACCTGCATTTGTCATAATTACACTACAGTAATTTTGATATTCTACTTGCTGTTAGCACAAATCATTGGCGGCTACTTTAGATTGCTCATTAATTTTTAGCAACAGCCTTGACATTTTAGTGCGTCGAGTACAACCCTGGTTGCTTGCATAGGAAAAACATCATCTGAATATATTTTTTTCAACTAGTGATTAATATTATTATTATTACTTGGTGGTGATTTTTTTCAGCGCACCTTTGACGTGCTAAGCATGCCAATGCAACCGTTAAAAATCGATGACTTTTGTTCTATTAACTGGTTATCTTACATCGAATCCTTAAACAATCTGTTGCGGATCAATTCGGATCAATTTCGGATCAAATTGCCCACGTTAGCTAATCAAAAATAAAATATTCGGCCGAAGACAGGTATCTGTAAAATAGATTCGACAACAGATACTGTAATTGACGACCGTTTTATTATTAAGCAATTATACTATCTCTATGTATTAGTTTTAAATTTTTAATAAGAGAAATTGTAAAGTTAATACTGTAATTTATATATCATCATCAAAATAATTTTGAATAAAAATCGTAATACACGAATAATAGAAAGTGTTAATTTTAAAGTAGAATATTTTTATATTAATACGCAATAATAGATATAAGCTTAATTTAATAATTCATAAAGTAATCTTTGCAGTAAATCTAAATTATTGTTAAATCCTCTTTTGTAAAAATTTTCTGACAATTAAAGTTTTCAGCGGGATAGCCTAAATTTATTATAATAACAAGGGAGGGAACCAGGCTTCGGCTAAATGTTTAAGAGTAAGGTTCTAGATCTTCCACTCAACCTATTTCTCGATTATGCCGGAATAATAAAATGACCTCTTATGGATCCTTTTGAAGCCATTTTATTTCAATAAACGACATATCGTGCCATTGATATTTTATTACACAATTAGCAATTACTATTATTTTAACATAGTACATTGCCAATAAGGTTGATATTGTCGGAGCGATTAAATGATTTAGAAAAAACAGATAAATCAAATACGGTCGAGTACTATGTGTTAGTTTTCCTGTGATCTTGATATAGTGATCGGGGATTATAATATTTACTACCTTAATTTTTCTTGTTATAAAGATAAGAGAAAAGTGAAGCATGGTAACAAATTAAAAAATTTTCTGAAGTAGTGTACTGTTAATTGTAAATTACAAATGGTAATAAAGAATCGGACTTCGGACCGCGGTCAATAACGAATTGTAATTGTTGAATTCGGAATAGGCGAAATGTTTGTTTACGTGTGTACATGCGTACGTACGTACGTATGTACATACGTATACATGCATATTCTTGAAAATCAATCTGTACTCCCATACTCCGAAGGCTCCGATTTTCTTTTCAGTCCTTTCTAACTAAAAAAAGGCATGGATTAAAGATTTATTTATTCTCTGTTTTTGGCGATTTTGTTCATTAATCAATTTCCAAAGAAAATTCTAGGATCTACTATACCAAATGGTTGGTGATTTCTTTATCGTTATGATGAAACTATTGGAGTTATTTTTATTAGAGTTATTTTTACTTAATTCCCATTCGGGTTCCATATAGAATGTGCAGTTTTATCGTGATAATAAGAAAATCTTTTTTTTGTTTGTTTGTTTAAAGCTATAATTTCTTTAAATATTCCTTAATCATAAACCAATTATATAATCATGCAGTAATAATTTAATGGATTAAAAAACTAGCAATTACGACCAACTCCGACAAATGGTATATGACGTCTACTATTAGGTAACAAAAAAAAATGAGCATCCAATAATCGTGTGAAATAGTGTTACCCGAGACTGAATTTCCCGCCTGATTAAAAATGGTAACATGAAATTTTGAAGTCGGTAATTTATCTTTTTGCTAAATTTGCCTATAATGATTATTCTTTATACAGATTGATCAATCTATTTATCGTTCGGACATTAGTCTAATTATATAATTCAGATAACAAAGCATTCATTTATAAATACGGAATTTTTTATGATCTTACGTATTTATGAAATATGACTAAATACATTAGATTAATTTCACCCAGAATTGGTAGCTCCTATATATACTAGATATAATATATACTATATCAAATTTATACTTTATGAAATCTCATAAATAGGCCCAAAGTCTAGCTTTTGTGTCTCGCCAAACGTTACAAAAATCCTTAAAACTGCTCTGTAGTTTTTTTGTAATGGTTTGATTCGATTATTAAACGTTTCGTTAATACGTTTTATAATTATGTGATTTCATGTTCTGATTTTTGTAATTCCTTATTTGAAAGAAAAATTTTTGGCCATCGCGATATTTTTGTTTTTATTTTTTTTATTCATTCTCGTACGAATAAATTTATCGATTACGTTATACGTTAACATTTACTCGCTTTTCTCGATACATCGGTGACGTTAATTAAGTGTTAACATTTACTCGCTTTTAGTTATGTTTATTATTGTTAAAAACACCGAATTTGTTAATATCGAATTTGATTATTATTAAACGCTATCACAAACGCAATTTATATTTTTTTAAATATTATTTTAAATCATATCAAATGACTACTTCAACTTCGTCCAAGTGTATATCAATTAGATTAGCCGGTGTGAATAAAATTGAAAGAGCTGGTCAAGATCATCCATATACCAAGTTCAAATTCTTTACAACCGATTCCAAAGATGATATTCATCAAGAAATTTCGAAAGCCTTTTCTGTAGAAAATTTTTCTTTAGTCGATGAAAGAGAAGGTCACATCATCACTGGTGCTTGGTTTTCTTTAGAAAATAATAATACTTATAGTCTTATCAAACGAGTTGCTAACGGTAATCGACGATCTTTTGAAAGACCAACTATGAGAACCAAACGCAGAGAAATCAATGATGCTGATGATAATGATATCAGTGAAACTGATGATGCTGAAAATAATACCGAGGATGATAAATCCAAAAAACGTACGCATGCTAAAAAAGCATGTTTAAATTGTAGAGTGGCCAAGAAAAAATGTGATCAAGAAACAATTCCTTGTAAGAGATGTGTGAAATATGAGATTGAATGCAATTTATCATCTGAAATTTAAGCGTATTATTTCACTTTTCGTTTATTATATAAGCTCCTTTTCCTTATTTACACTAGTTATTTACGCATGCATCTCTTTTTTTTAAATTGATTCTTTTCCGAAATTTATAATTTCATATCTAACTTTTTTAATTTTTGAATTTATGTAAATCAAATGATTGAATCTAACTTTTTTAAATTTCGAATTTATGTAAATCAAATGATTGAAATTTTTTTTTAAAATGTTTTTTTAATCATTTAATTCTGAGATTACAAAATAAATAAATATTTTTCACTTTCTTTGCTATATTTCATTTGCTATATTTCATTTGCTATATTTCGTTTGTGTGTAATTATTTAAATGTTGTGTTAGTATAAAGTGTTGCTCTTAATGTCGTTCACTCAAACAATTATTTGATAATGATATTATCGTTACTAATAGAAATCATGTGACTGAGATATCGATTATTGGCAACACTGGTTTTCACAATTCGAAAGGTTTATTAATTACAAATTTTTATTAAATCAATATCAAGTAAGATAAATCAAGATATTTTATATTATCCGTCAGGTTACTATGATCGGGCTGTCAAATAATATGATATATGAATAATAGAACAATATAATTAATCATTCATAAAGTTATCGGCCAATCCCTGTTGTAAACGTGTACTTTCTTCCGCCTTTTGTAATCTGTCATAAGAAAATGCATTATTGAAAGAAAGAGGTTTGAAACTATTTGACCGTTTAAGAATTGTTTTATAGTTCTGGGGTAAATTATGTTGGTCATGCGCCTGAATTATTATAATGCTTGCTGAATTTAAACTGTTAACACAGTTAAACGGTTAAGTGATTATAAATTTCTAGTATCATTTTTTTAGGTGTTATTGAAACTAATCTTTTTTTCTTCTGGTATGATTTTTTGGAGCTTTTTTGTTCATATATATGAATTCTTGTATGCCTTTTGCAATTTAGAGATGACTTCAAAACGATTATATAGCATACTTTTATCAATCAGTATACTTTGTTTTATCGATTTTATTTTTTTAATAATTTTTTAATGATCAAATTTCTGGTTAAGATTTTTACAGGGAATAACAATAGTCTAAAATAAAGACATATCTTATTAAAAGGATTACAAGTTTCACACTCCTTTCGTTCCGCTCCCTTCCCCTAAATTAGAATTACTTTCGTTGACAAAAACTAGTCTAGCAGTATTAAGAATAAGTTCAATTGGTTGAGCACCAACATAGCATTATAATAATTCAGGCGCATGACCAACATAATTTACCCCAGAACTATAAAACAATTCTTAAACGGTCAAATAGTTTCAAACCTCTTTCTTTCAATAATGCATTTTCTTATGACAGATTACAAAAGGCGGAAGAAAGTACACGTTTACAACAGGGATTGGCCGATAACTTTATGAATGATTAATTATATTGTTCTATTATTCATATATCATATTATTTGACAGCCCGATCATAGTAACCTGACGGATAATATAAAATATCTTGATTTATCTTACTTGATATTGATTTAATAAAAATTTGTAATTAATAAACCTTTCGAATTGTGAAAACCAGTGTTGCCAATAATCGATATCTCAGTCACATGATTTCTATTAGTAACGATAATATCATTATCAAATAATTGTTTGAGTGAACGACATTAAGAGCAACACTTTATACTAACACAACATTTAAATAATTACACACAAACGAAATATAGCAAATGAAATATAGCAAATGAAATATAGCAAAGAAAGTGAAAAATATTTATTTATTTTGTAATCTCAGAATTAAATGATTAAAAAAACATTTTAAAAAAAAATTTCAATCATTTGATTTACATAAATTCGAAATTTAAAAAAGTTAGATTCAATCATTTGATTTACATAAATTCAAAAATTAAAAAAGTTAGATATGAAATTATAAATTTCGGAAAAGAATCAATTTAAAAAAAAGAGATGCATGCGTAAATAACTAGTGTAAATAAGGAAAAGGAGCTTATATAATAAACGAAAAGTGAAATAATACGCTTAAATTTCAGATGATAAATTGCATTCAATCTCATATTTCACACATCTCTTACAAGGAATTGTTTCTTGATCACATTTTTTCTTGGCCACTCTACAATTTAAACATGCTTTTTTAGCATGCGTACGTTTTTTGGATTTATCATCCTCGGTATTATTTTCAGCATCATCAGTTTCACTGATATCATTATCATCAGCATCATTGATTTCTCTGCGTTTGGTTCTCATAGTTGGTCTTTCAAAAGATCGTCGATTACCGTTAGCAACTCGTTTGATAAGACTATAAGTATTATTATTTTCTAAAGAAAACCAAGCACCAGTGATGATGTGACCTTCTCTTTCATCGACTAAAGAAAAATTTTCTACAGAAAAGGCTTTCGAAATTTCTTGATGAATATCATCTTTGGAATCGGTTGTAAAGAATTTGAACTTGGTATATGGATGATCTTGACCAGCTCTTTCAATTTTATTCACACCGGCTAATCTAATTGATATACACTTGGACGAAGTTGAAGTAGTCATTTGATATGATTTAAAATAATATTTAAAAAAATATAAATTGCGTTTGTGATAGCGTTTAATAATAATCAAATTCGATATTAACAAATTCGGTGTTTTTAACAATAATAAACATAACTAAAAGCGAGTAAATGTTAACACTTAATTAACGTCACCGATGTATCGAGAAAAGCGAGTAAATGTTAACGTATAACGTAATCGATAAATTTATTCGTACGAGAATGAATAAAAAAAATAAAAACAAAAATATCGCGATGGCCAAAAATTTTTCTTTCAAATAAGGAATTACAAAAATCAGAACATGAAATCACATAATTATAAAACGTATTAACGAAACGTTTAATAATCGAATCAAACCATTACAAAAAAACTACAGAGCAGTTTTAAGGATTTTTGTAACGTTTGGCGAGACACAAAAGCTAGACTTTGGGCCTATTTATGAGATTTCATAAAGTATAAATTTGATATAGTATATATTATATCTAGTATATATAGGAGCTACCAATTCTGGGTGAAATTAATCTAATGTATTTAGTCATATTTCATAAATACGTAAGATCATAAAAAATTCCGTATTTATAAATGAATGCTTTGTTATCTGAATTATATAATTAGACTAATGTCCGAACGATAAATAGATTGATCAATCTGTATAAAGAATAATCATTATAGGCAAATTTAGCAAAAAGATAAATTACCGACTTCAAAATTTCATGTTACCATTTTTAATCAGGCGGGAAATTCAGTCTCGGGTAACACTATTTCACACGATTATTGGATGCTCATTTTTTTTTGTTACCTAATAGTAGACGTCATATACCATTTGTCGGAGTTGGTCGTAATTGCTAGTTTTTTAATCCATTAAATTATTACTGCATGATTATATAATTGGTTTATGATTAAGGAATATTTAAAGAAATTATAGCTTTAAACAAACAAACAAAAAAAAGATTTTCTTATTATCACGATAAAACTGCACATTCTATATGGAACCCGAATGGGAATTAAGTAAAAATAACTCTAATAAAAATAACTCCAATAGTTTCATCATAACGATAAAGAAATCACCAACCATTTGGTATAGTAGATCCTAGAATTTTCTTTGGAAATTGATTAATGAACAAAATCGCCAAAAACAGAGAATAAATAAATCTTTAATCCATGCCTTTTTTTAGTTAGAAAGGACTGAAAAGAAAATCGGAGCCTTCGGAGTATGGGAGTACAGATTGATTTTCAAGAATATGCATGTATACGTATGTACATACGTACGTACGTACGCATGTACACACGTAAACAAACATTTCGCCTATTCCGAATTCAACAATTACAATTCGTTATTGACCGCGGTCCGAAGTCCGATTCTTTATTACCATTTGTAATTTACAATTAACAGTACACTACTTCAGAAAATTTTTTAATTTGTTACCATGCTTCACTTTTCTCTTATCTTTATAACAAGAAAAATTAAGGTAGTAAATATTATAATCCCCGATCACTATATCAAGATCACAGGAAAACTAACACATAGTACTCGACCGTATTTGATTTATCTGTTTTTTCTAAATCATTTAATCGCTCCGACAATATCAACCTTATTGGCAATGTACTATGTTAAAATAATAGTAATTGCTAATTGTGTAATAAAATATCAATGGCACGATATGTCGTTTATTGAAATAAAATGGCTTCAAAAGGATCCATAAGAGGTCATTTTATTATTCCGGCATAATCGAGAAATAGGTTGAGTGGAAGATCTAGAACCTTACTCTTAAACATTTAGCCGAAGCCTGGTTCCCTCCCTTGTTATTATAATAAATTTAGGCTATCCCGCTGAAAACTTTAATTGTCAGAAAATTTTTACAAAAGAGGATTTAACAATAATTTAGATTTACTGCAAAGATTACTTTATGAATTATTAAATTAAGCTTATATCTATTATTGCGTATTAATATAAAAATATTCTACTTTAAAATTAACACTTTCTATTATTCGTGTATTACGATTTTTATTCAAAATTATTTTGATGATGATATATAAATTACAGTATTAACTTTACAATTTCTCTTATTAAAAATTTAAAACTAATACATAGAGATAGTATAATTGCTTAATAATAAAACGGTCGTCAATTACAGTATCTGTTGTCGAATCTATTTTACAGATACCTGTCTTCGGCCGAATATTTTATTTTTGATTAGCTAACGTGGGCAATTTGATCCGAAATTGATCCGAATTGATCCGCAACAGATTGTTTAAGGATTCGATGTAAGATAACCAGTTAATAGAACAAAAGTCATCGATTTTTAACGGTTGCATTGGCATGCTTAGCACGTCAAAGGTGCGCTGAAAAAAATCACCACCAAGTAATAATAATAATATTAATCACTAGTTGAAAAAAATATATTCAGATGATGTTTTTCCTATGCAAGCAACCAGGGTTGTACTCGACGCACTAAAATGTCAAG